ATATATATCACGAAGTTCAATTTTCTTGTATATGAACCATTTGGACATCTCCGTGGTTGAATATTATCTAGTTTAGGTGTTTGGTAAGGAAGGTGACTTCATCACTGCACCGGAGCTTACCCAACTTTTTGGCGAGCTTATAGGTGTTTGGTGCTATCATGAGCTAGCCAATACTGGGCATACAGGTTTGTCTCTTGCTATCAAAAGATTTCCGAATGTTTCAGAATTGCATTTTTCAGGTCCTTGGCAACTTGTCGAGTGTGGTCCTGGAACTGGTCAACTTATGAATGATCTTTTATCCGTCATGGAAAACTTTCAAGTTAGTTTACAAGAATTTACAATGCAATTTTTGCTCATTATAATGCGTTTTATCAATTTTTGCCGTTGGGACAGTCATCTACCAGCTCTGTACTTTCAAATTCATTTCCTTTATCATTCACGTATTGATATCATAGATTATGTGGCATATTGGATTGCAGGAGAAGAATCTTTCTGTCCACCTGGTTGAAACTTCCGATGCACTGATCAAAAAACAGGAGGAGTTCTTATGCGATAGGCCATCATCCTCGGCTTCGAATGGTAAGGGTTGTGCCAGACGGACTATCATCAATTGAGCTAATGATAGACGCACATCTAGGAAAAGAGCCGCACGTGAAAAGCAACACTACGAAATCCGGGTTCCCTATATTCTGGTATAAAACTATCGAGGATGTGCCGGAAACTGTAGGTGTGTAATAGAATGTTTCCTACTTTTCACTAGATTTCGCTTTTAGTTCTCTGTATTCGTTGCAAACGAATTTTTCGACGCTCTACCTGTGCACCAGTTTAGCAGAGACACAGACGGGAGATGGCATGAGGTACTACTATTTTCTTGAAAAAAAATTTTTTTTTGTTACACAATGATGAAGATTCTGAATAATTCGTTGGTCAGAATATACAGTCATCTAAGTGTATAGCATTGACTTAAAGGCAATGTCCAGGTCAAAAGGGGGTACTTGGGTCTTGGCGTAGTGTGTGAGCACTGCTCCTGACTAACGCAACAGTCCAAGTCCGATCAAAAAGGTAGAATTTGAAGCGAAAAATTGCTTCATTCGCTGGAGAAAAGGGGCGGTACTACTAATCCTGCCCTTTTGACAGGATTCCACGTTGTATGCGGTAGATCTACTATATCGACCACGTCAAAACTTGTCAAGGAGGCGGGATTGTAGTACCGCCC